TCCTCCTCCTCCTCTTCTTCAACTTGTACTCTAACATTTAAGAACACTTTCGTCTCAGGAAAATCCATCACCGTCATAGAAGAAGAGTAGTAAGTTGAACTCTGTTGAATATGAATACACGTTTGCTGACCTGAAAAACTTCCCCTCAGACACACCTAGATGGTTGGGATGAGATATGCACATACTAGTCATGTCATGTCATGTTTTTCAGCTAAGGAGCCGTAGAAACGTTGAGAAATTGTGTTGATCCTGAAAGTTCCACACCTTATGTGCAAATAGACCGAGCATCACAATACTGGCGTAAGCTGACAAAACGCCTTTAAAAAAAATTCACAGCAGTTTCGAGAAATCATCTTTTTTCGTTTTTCTATAATATTTCAACTGTTTTGTACAGTACATCAACATTTGATCTCTTGTCCAGAAGAGAAATGTCGTTCTCTGTGCTCGACGTATAATATTATACGAGCGTAAGAAAACCGAAAATTGTTGATTTCTCGAAACGGATGTAAAAAAAAAAAAGAAAAGAAAAAGGTGTTTTGTCAGAGTGCGAGAGAATATTGTTTGATATCATTAACTAGCTGGGCCCCGTTTCGATGAAAGGAATGATCGGTGCATTACCATCAACGGAAAGTCATTGGCCTACTATATTTACACTCTTCTGGAATGGAGCAATACATCTTGAGAGATGCAAACAAATTAGAAGGTCTAGATCTATACTCTCAAATTAAAAATGCGCCTCGCGAAATATCACTTCCGGCACTTCCATTGTGAAGGACAGCTGCGCAGATTTGTTTCGTTTCTCAGTGGAATAATCACAAAGGCCACAGAAGGCCGAAAACATTTTGTCAAATATATTTTTATAAATTCAGGGAATAATTAAATAAAAAATTGGGCTCACCATGGGGACCTATCTATCTTTTTGCAGGTACTTGCCAACTTTCAACTATGTAGCTGTCGTAGTTTTATGGGAAAAGTGACACATGTGTTTCCAAGTTGCCAAATATATAATAGATAATACAAAAAGCATCCGCTTAATTTTTTGCTTAATACATGTCGATGTAGTTCTAAGGGGCACCTGTCCAAGACAATCACCTGTACAAACGGACATTTGCCCCATCCCTTCCTGAGTTTTTAAATGTTCCAATGATACTGTCAAAGACAATCATCTGTACAAACGGATATTTCCCCCCTTCCCGTCTTGAATTTTTAAATGTTGTAATGACACTCTCCCAGACACTCACCTGTCTAAGACAGCCACTTTTCCCTGTCTAAGACAGCCACTTACACTCACCTGTCTAAGACAGCCACTTACACTCACCTGTCTAAGACAGCCTCTTACACCTGTCTAAGACAGCCTCTTACACCTGTCTAAGACAGCCACTTTCCCCTGTCTAAGACAGCCACTTACACTCACCTGTCTAAGACAGCCTCTTACACTTGTCTAAGACAGCCTCTTACACCTGTCTAAGACAGCCTCTTACACCTGTCTAAGACAGCCACTTTTCTTCTCGACACATGCACGCCGTCTTGGACAGTTTAGAACTGTGGCGTCGGTGGTCTAGCGGTTAGCCTACCAGAGACGTGGTGCTGCGAATTCGGGGGTTCGAGCCTCAGGCCCGACGTTGTATCCTTGTTGTTATTATTATTATTATTATTATTAGTAGTAGTAGTAGTAGTAGTAGTAGTAGTAGTAGTAGTAGTAG